TATATATTCAGTATAATACAACAACACTACCTGTATATAAATTTGAATTCTAAATTTACTTTAAATATCTTGAGTATTTTCTTTCATGAACTATATTAATACCTAGATATATAATAGTTAAATTAAAATACGCATAAAAGTTGCAGTATAAATAAACTTCTAAAACTTCAAAATATAAAAAAAAACTCAAGTAATCTTAAATTAACTAAGACGATCCTTAACTCTTTGTGCCAAGATATACCTGTTTTTAGCATTCTTATTTATTTTGCAAAAAGGTTTTGCTGCCATTGATTATTTTTGATTATTAAAACTAGAGTTCTTGAACCATATGTTCGAAGCTTACTAGACTTTAATAACTATTGAAAATTTTTTTTCAAAATGTATGACGTTTGAGGGGTAAAAGGCACGTGAGAGCCAATCAAATTCAATAATCCATTCGTAGATAATTCTAGAATGTGATTCCCTAATTTGGTAAATCCCCTGACTGTAATAACGTTAAATAAATTATAAATCTCATTACTTGGTTTAAAATTACTTAGTTTAAGATCTTGATTACTTTTAAAACTTTCCAACTCAGAAACAATTCCTCTCGTATCAATAAGTTTAGAAGTATACTTATTATTTTCATGTTTTTGTGTAATAATTGGAAATTCTTTGATTAATTTATCTGCTTCAAAAAATTGCTGTTTGATCTCATTATCGCTGTCGTAATCACTATCGGCTTCTAAAAATTGCTGTTTGATCTCATAATCGCTATCGTAATCAATATCATCATCGTAATCACTGTCACTACTGTCATAATCGTAATCACTATCATTATCGTAATCACTGTCATTACTGTCATTATCGTAATCACTATTATTGGCGACTAGAATTTTTTTCCATTTTTTAAGTTTATAAAGAATCTCAACGGCAGTAGGTCTCTTTTTCATATCTCCATCAATACATTGATTAACTAATTCAATATAACATTTTGGAGAATCTATAATAAAATCAGGTCGCAAACCATAACAAATCTTTAGAGCTAATTTAGCATCAAAATTGTAACCATCGAAAGGACTTCGACCAGTTAATAATTCTAACATAATAATTCCAAAGCTGTAAATATCGGCAGCTTGAGTAAAAGGTTCACCTTTCAAGACTTCAGGAGCTAAATAAGGTAAAACACCATAAATATGACCATCTTGTTTTTCATCAAACGATATTGATAAACCTAAATCTGTAATATAAGCTTCATATTCATCTTTTAATAAAATATTGCCAGAATGTAAATCTCGATGTATAAATTTTTTAGAATGAATATGCAATAGATTATAAATGATATCGCTTAATATTTTTAGTTTAATTTTCCATTCCATTTTAAATATATCTTTAAGATTTTCTCGTAATGATCCAAATCTTGCGTAATTTATCACTAAAATAAAATCTCCGCTATCTTTATCCTTTGATATGCCATGGTATTTCCCAAATTCGTGATATGCCTTTAACTAAATGTTGTCAATTTATATGCAATTAATTCATAATCAATATAATTAATATTATAAATTTACGTGTAAAAAGAAATACCTCGTTTAAAAAAAGTTCTTTCTTTTTATGTGAATCTTTTATTATTTTGATTGCAACTTCTTCGTATATTCCAAATGATGTTTCATATGATGTTTTATACACTACGGAAAATCCACCTTTACCTACTTCTTCAATATTTTTAAATTTATCGTATTTTATCCATCGGAAATATTTTCTATGATTAGAGCATTCATGTTTAGTGACAGCTGATTTTAAATGCCATTCAAAAGCTAAATCTTTATTCTTTTCTACCCCAATTCCATAATGATAACACCTTCCAACAAAATGCATGCCACAACTATATCCATATTCGGCACTTTTTAAATAATGTTCAAAGGCTTTTTGTCCATTCTTTTCAACTCCATTTCCATTTTCATAACAAACTCCAACATTAAATATTCCCGTAGCGTGCCCCATCTCTGCAGATTTTTGACAATAAATGAATGCCTTATGTTCATCCTTTTCAACACCAATTCCATTATTATAACAATATCCAAC